TGGCGAAAGTGCAGCGCGCGGTCTGCATGTTGTCCAACACTACGGCGATCGCCGAGGCGTGGGCTCGACTCGACCACAAGTTTGATCTGATGTACGCGAAGAGAGCGTTCGTTCACTGGTATGTCGGGGAGGGTATGGAAGAGGGAGAGTTCTCCGAAGCCCGCGAAGACTTGGCCGCACTCGAGAAGGACTACGAAGAGGTCGGACTCGACTCAACCGATGCCGCCGACGACGAGGGCGGAGAGGAGTTCTAGACTATACCCCCTCTTCCGGTGGCCAAACATTAATCTCTTTGATTTGTCTTTAACTGAGAATTCTTCCGATTCTTGAAGACTTTTTCAAAGTTTTTAAAGAAATGTTTTTTACCGCAAAATAAAGATTTTAATGAATTTTAAACGCGTTATTGATTTAGTCTATCGTCTATTAAATTGATTAATGATTGTGTTGTTTGTGTTTTCAATGAATTATTAATACAAGTATTGATTAATTAGTGGTTTAAGTGAAGGTCAGTGAACCCAATATCCCGGGCACTCCCTCTTTGACTCATTCACTGCATGACATCATTGATGTCAAGACCACAGCTTTTGGGTGTTATTCTGGTTTAGAGAAAACACTTTACGGGATTTTTATGATGGTAATCAAATTAAATTTTAACATTACTATTTAGGTAGAATCAATTTTAATTAGATTTTACAGTTGATCTAGTGTATATCCAAGAGATGTGATGTTCATTCACATGATTACAACACTTTAAACATTTGTTGCTAACCGTAATGAATAGTTGAAAAGCCCGGAACATGTCATGTCTGGCGCATAGGTTTGTGAACACATTGTTTACATTCATTTTAAATACAATGAAATGACAATTCAGTCATTCATTGGTTTTGTTATTAAACATTGTTTTTATTGTTTGTTATTATAATTGAATCTCTCTCTCTCTCTCTCTCTCTCTCTCCAAATATTGAACACTTTTATGACAGAAAACACAAATTGAATTCAATTGATGCCAATAATGATTGACAATACGATGGTATTAGTGGTGGTGTTGAGGGACAGGGAAGTGGTGTTTGGGTGAAGGCATCGATCACTTACTTGTTTCACATTATATTCAACAATATATGGAAGGAATAAATAGGAGATAATAGCCGTGAGAGACAGCGCCAGACCAATGGTCACCAAAACGGTAACCTTTGCCGTCACTGAACACCAATACATAGCCGACGGATGGGATGATGGGGTCGATGGAGGGGGTGGTGAGGGGTGTGGGGGTGCGGGTGCTTGTGGTTGAGGTAGTGGTAAGTATACGATCACAACAACACTGTTGTCACTGCCAACAGATCCATGATTTGTATGGCAAACACATAGCACTCGCAGACATCACTTATTGAAACACAATATCAAACAAAATCAAGTCTACAATATATTTGGCGATCAAATCGTATGAACAGGTCTTTTAGGCCTTGATTTTTGTCATTGAAATAAACAGAAATGTGTTTATTGTTGGAAACTATGGTTCTCTCAAAGCCCGCAGTATTTCTCACTTTTTCAATACATTTAATATTTTTATAAAAAATCTTTTCAATGTTTTTTTGTGAACAACTTTTTCTTTTTGTGTTGTTTTGTTGGTTTAGAAATCTCTCTTCAATACGAATACTGCATATGATTTGTGTTCATTGAGTGCTGTATTGGCTTTAAATACATGAGAGAGTACTGAATGCTAGAGAGAGAATGAGAGAGATTGAGAGAGACTGGCGTTTGAGAGAGCAATGAATACACAATGAAAGGCAGACTCTCGTTGACGTCAGCCATACATATGAGAGGACTTTTAAATTTCTGTTAAAAACTTTTTTGTGAGACTTTTTCATATTTTATTCACAGCCAGAGTCTGTGTTGTGTTGAGTTCATAGTATTGTTGAAAATATTTTATTATACACTACTTGTTTGACACAAACATTTGAATTACATAATGAATATTAATGTATTAGATAATGCATATATTTTTAATTGTACTATTTTCTATATATTTGACAACCAGTTTATATTGCAGTTAATGTTTTATAAAGTTTTTGTATTACAATAGATGTGACAAATACTGAATATACAAATATTATTGTTTGTTATAAACCATATTTCATAACATATTGCCGTAATTGAACTAAATATAAATTAAATTTTGTTATGCAGTAATAATTTTATAAAAGATTTAGTTTGAATTGGGTTTAGTTAGGTTAGGGCTAATAACTTAAATATATGATAAATATAAATATGGTATAAAAATATAAACCATTAATTTATTTAAGTTCTTCTAAAAAAACTTTGGTTTAGTTTGTGTTTTAAAAATATTTTTACGAACTCTAATATTTAGAAATTGTATACTATTTTCACTTATTTATGAAATATTTAATGAAAAACTTGTGAAACAGACAAAAGTATAACAAAATATCCATTCATTTATGATTGGGATTCAACTTTAATTAAAACATGTATGCATTTTACCATAAAACAATATAAATTCTTACAAATCATTAAAACATTTCTTTCATAATATTTTATAAGTTTACTAAAAGTTTTAAATAAAAAAAACTTTTAAGTTCTAAATAAAACTTACATTTATTTCACGTATTATTCACGTAATTAATGGACAATAAAATCATACTTTATTTTGAATATTGTGTTTACAAAGTGTTTGCAAAACACGAGTCAAACAAAACATTAAATTCAGTTATAATTAAATAAATTGTTAACAAAACACATGTTTTATTTAAAAAGCAATCGATGCCTACTATTGGCATACAATCGGTTGATGACCACAGCTGGTCCGAATCACCATGGGCAGTTTATTCGCCATATGAGCGCCTTTCCCGTCGACCAAATGCCTGTCTTCAAGAGTGGCCAGAGTTTGGACCGATTGTACCCGAAATCGTCGACCACTTCCACAACCAGTACTCAAACAAAGGTCTTATTTTAGACACAATTAACGCAAACTTTAAATATTAATATATATTTTGACGACTGATTCGCAGACATCAACCGATGGACGGCAGTCAACGCCGGCCGCCGACCGTTTCAATGGACACATACCTATCGATAAGCTTGAGATCAGTTACTGTCGAAGCAGTGGACCCGGAGGTCAACACGTGAACACCACAAACACCAAAGTGACCGTTCAGTGCCACTTGCCTTCAGCCGATTGGCTGCCATTGGAGACCAGAGAGAGAATCAAAGAACTGGTAATGGATTGACGAGACAATTGTCTATAGATATAACCCGTGATATATAACTCACTGACCGGTGGTCTGTATTTTGCAGCACAAGAATACCATCAATAAAGACGGCCATTGGATCATAAGATCGGACAAAACTCGGGCCCAACTCATGAATTTGGCCGATTGTATGGACAAAATGCGGTGTTATATCACTGAAGCCCAGCGCCAGCCGTACACGCCGTCCGTCGAGACCCTCGAGAAGATCCGTGAGAACCGAGAAAAGGCTGCCGTAAGACGACTCGAACAGAAGAAGAACCGATCGATGGTTAAGTCCAGTCGGCGTTCAATCGATTAAATGAATGCATTGTTTTTTATTAACTTTTCAATTAAAATGTGTATAAAATGTCTTTAAAAATATGGCAATAGTTTCGGTAATAATAATAATAATAATTAAAACAATTCATTAATAGTATATAGAGTTATATATAAATTTCATAGACTATAAGGCAATTGTTTAGCAAATAATTAAAAAAAACATAATTCATTGTGAAATAACTGTAGTTTCAATCGTCGTCTGAATCTGTGTCCGCATTATCGGGTAATTTGACTCCCATTGTGGAGAAGAGAGCGGTTGCGGGTCCGGGAACTCCACACTCGGCGCCGTATGACTCCAAGATATTGGTCAACGCATTCAAGTCTATGTCAACCGCTTTGTAATCGCCGTCGAGAGCCGACTCTCCATCGCCTTCTCCTCTGCGTTCAAAACTCTGACCAACAGATGTTTGGGCCAACTGTTGGTCCATAGCCTTCATATACTCCTTCATATCATCCATCAATCCATTAGTGGTTCCATTAGTCTTCGGCACGGATTTAAACAATTCCTTTTGATAGCAATCGTCGTCGCTGTCAATGGAGTCCTCGTCGTCGCTGTAATCACTCATTCCCGAAGAGGAAGAGTCGGTCTCTGAGTGGGGAATCTTCAGCGACAAGACAGTGCTCAGGGCGTCAGTGAACGAGTCTTCGTTGAACTGGATTTTGGACGCCGTTTGGGTTTGTGTCCGACGCTTACGGGGCGGAGGTTTAGGCGCTTCCGCTCCTCTCAAACCAGATCTCGAGTTCGAGACAAACGCCTCAAGAGTTGAGGGAATTTGAGTGGAAATGTCTGAGCAATCGGTCGTCTGATTAGTAGGCTTTGAGCAAAACTTTTCGGTCAACATTGCGTCCAATTCGTCGGCGTTTACTGTCATCCAGTCGTCCGAGTCTTCGGCGGGCAAACGCTTGGCCTCCGACTCAAACTCTTCGACATCAATGTCAAGCGATCGCAAGATTTGGTGTATTTTCTCACCTCTCGATTCATAGCTTTCGGTCAATTCATGCGAATTCTCGTTATTGTATAATAAATCCGTAAAATAATTTTGAGCGCATTTCAAGAGGTCATTGTATTTACGGGAACCGTTCCTCTCGTTACCGAAGTATCCATTTTTGGCCAAACTCTCCAGAAATGCTATCCATCGGCGATCCGAAGCCAACTCTTTGCTCGGATTAGTGGCTCCGTTGGCGGTCAACAGTGACCGCGAGTTAGAGATCAATATTTCAAAGCCGGACGCGATCTTCATTCCCAAGTCGTGGCACCGAAAGTGTCGCGAATTATTAGGCGGTAAATCCCAGCCAACCCTTACGTCCGGCGAATACTTTTGTGACATTAATTGTGCGTAAAGACAACGTGTGATCGATAGGCAGCGCATTACTCGCGATTCGGGCGGAAAATACTTCATCGCCTGACAGGCCTTCAGGTCGTCGGGCGTCCGGTTGTAAAAGGCCTGAACGGCCCACGAGATGAGCGCAGGCCTGTGCCGCAGGAGTGCCGCCACACCCACCGGAACGTAACAGTGGGTCCGGTGTTGCCATTCGGTGATCCGTTTGGGAAAGCAATCGATTCGCTTACGAATCGCCTTTTGGATCAATTCTTGAGCGCGACTCACGTCCGGGTATTGGCGAACATAAGCCACGGCTTCGGCGATCGTTGGCTCTCTTCCGGCGAATTCTTTGCATTTTATGGGAATTATATGAACGGCTTCTTTATAGATGAAGACACGGTTCTGACAATTGGACGGTTCGCACCATTTCGGCAGATAATCGGCCGCTTCTATCAACAGAAACTGACCGTCGGTGTCCTCAATGTGGATCACCGCCAGCGGATCCAATCGCGACAACCGGTAGAGAAGATATACGACAAGCCATTCGTCTTCGATATTCTCGCCAAAGTCAGTGACACCAGACAAGTGATGGACGCCTTCGGGAAGTAATAAAACACATCAACAAAAACAATACACACTTGAAGTGCAAGTCTTGGATCACTTACCGGAAGAATCGGTGGCAACGGATAAGTGGAAGGACTGGTTGTGCCAAATATGATGTGATATATGTTTGGCTAAATATGTGTAACACTTTTGGATGTAATCGTTGAGCGAATCCAACGGCACCGCCGATGACGGGTACAGACGATACGCGACACTGTTTTCGCCTAACTCTCGGCCATTGACTGCCATTTGGATCTCCGGATGAAAAACTCTTCGTCCGATTCAACGATTGTTTCTATAAATAGATTTTATTTCTAGATTTCAATTCAATTATAATAACAAACAATAAAAACAATGTTTAATAACAAAACCAATGAATGACTGAATTGTCATTTCATTGTATTTAAAATGAATGTAAACAATGTGTTCACAAACCTATGCGCCAGACATGACATGTTCCGGGCTTTTCGACTTTTCATTACGGTTAGCAACAAGTGTTTCAAGTGTTGTAATCATGCTCATTCACATCACATCTCTTGGATATATGCTAGATGAAATGTAAAATCGAATTAAAATTGATTCTACCTAAATAGTGATGTTCAAATTTAATTTGATTACCATCATCAAAATCCCGTAAAGTGTTATCTCTAAACCAGAATAACACCCAAAAGCTGTGGTCTTGACATAAATGATGTCATGCAGTGAATGAGTCAAAGAGGGAGTGCCCGGGATATTGGGTTCACTGACCTTCACTTAAACCACTAATTAATCAATACTTATATTAATAATTCATTGAAAACACAAACAACACAATCATTAATCAATTTAATAGAGGATAGACTAAATCAATAACGCGTTTAAAATTCATTAAAATCTTTATTTTGCGGTAAAAAACATTTCTTTAAAAACTTTGAAAATAGTCTTAAAAACTTCAAGAATCGGAAGAATTCTCAGTTAAAGACAAATCAAAGTAATTAATGTTTGACCACCGGAAGAGGGGGTATAGTCTAGAACTCCTCTCCGCCCTCGTCGTCGGCGGCATCGGTTGAGTCGAGTCCGACCTCTTCGTAGTCCTTCTCGAGTGCGGCCAAGTCTTCGCGGGCTTCAGAGAACTCTCCCTCTTCCATACCCTCCCCGACATACCAGTGAACGAACGCTCTCTTCGCGTACATCAGATCAAACTTGTGGTCGAGTCGAGCCCACGCCTCGGCGATCGCCGTAGTGTTGGACAACATGCAGACCGCGCGCTGCACTTTCGCCAGATCACCGCCCGGAACCACTGTCGGCGGCTGATAATTGATGCCAACCTAACGGTGCCATTAAATAACAAAAATTGTATTAATAAACCGATTGAATGGACGGTTTGATAGGGCGTGAAAGGGAGACATACCTTGAAACCGGTGGGACACCAGTCGACGAACTGAATGCTGCGTTTAGTCTTAATGGCAGCGATGGCTGCATTCACATCTTTGGGCACGACATCGCCTCTGTATAGCAGACAACAGGCCATATACTTGCCATGTCTTGGGTCGCATTTCACCATCTGGTTTGAGGGCTCAAAGCAAGAGTTGGTGATCTCCGATACAGTCAACTGTTCGTGATATGCCTTCTCCGATGAGATGACCGGAGCGTATGTCACGAGCGGGAAATGGATGCGCGGATAGGGAACCAAATTGGTCTGGAATTCAGTCAAATCCACGTTTAGGGCGCCGTCGAAGCGAAGGGAAGCCGTGATTGAGGACACAATCTGACCGATCAGTCGATTCAAATTGGTATAAGTCGGGCGTTCAATGTCTAGATTGCGGCGACAGATATCATAAATGGCTTCGTTGTCGACCATAAAAGCGCAGTCCGAGTGCTCGAGAGTGGTATGAGTGGTGAGAATACTGTTATAGGGCTCGACCACAGCTGTCGACACCTGAGGCGCCGGATAGATAGCGAACTCCAACTTAGACTTCTTGCCGTAATCGACAGACAAGCGCTCCATCAGTAGTGATGTAAATCCAGAACCGGTTCCGCCGCCAAACGAGTGAAAGATTAGGAAACCCTGGAGTCCGGTACAGTTGTCGGCCAGTTTGCGCACGCGATCCAACACCAGATCCACAATCTCTTTGCCGATAGTATAGTGACCGCGAGCGTAGTTGTTGGCCGCGTCCTCTTTGCCGGTGATGAGCTGTTCCGGATGGAAGAGTTGCCGATAGGTTCCGGTGCGCACCTCATCCACGACAGTGGGCTCGAGGTCTACATAGACAGCGCGGGGCACGTGTTTACCGGCGCCCGTCTCCGAGAAGAACGTGTTGAACGAGTCGTCTCCGCCGCCGATATTCTTATCGCTGGGCATTTGTCCGTCGGGTTGAATGCCGTGTTCGAGACAATACAGTTCCCAACACGCGTTTCCTATCTGTACGCCCGCCTGACCCACATGTATGGATATGCACTCTCTCATGATATCTGATGGCGAGACCAGACAATGGAAGACATTGTGTTAATTTATCAATCAATTCATTCAATCATTAAATAAATAGTGCTTTAATTTTATGCGAGAGAGAGAGAGACTGTGCGAACACATTTCCCATTGGTTTAACATT